GCCTGCGTTCCCAAGACGGACTCAGAGGCACCGACACCACTCACTGCTTATTTGGGAGGAAGCATGGCTGGCCTTGGAGAACAAAACATTTGAGGGGCAGTGGGGCTAAAGAATTGGGAGCATTTGGATTTCAGAATGAAATTGCTAGATTCCTTGAGGTGAGCAATAGAGGCCGCCTAAGCATCCCTGGGTCATCTCAGTTGGCGATGGCTGGTAGATTTTTCCGGTTGGAATCTTGGGTTCTCATGGCTGGAGGGACATTGAGGATACATCACCTCATCTAGAACAGCCCCTTCATTGTACAGCCCAAGGACCAGAGATGGGAAATGACCTGTTCAAGGCCTCATAGCTAACTGGGGGCAGAGGATCTAAAGTCCAGGTCTCTTGATTCATGGTTCACTGCTCTTCCGTGGGCAGCCCACAAATAGGATTTCTTTTCCTATGCCCAGGACTATGTGACTGTATCAAGGAGAGAGAAGAGTTTTAATCAGTTGTTGCAGATGGGCCGCTGGGGAGGTAGGGAGTGCAGTGTTGTGCAATGGATAGGTGGCCCTTTAGAATCTTACTGCCCAGACGCCCATGCCCTGGGCACTGCAGCCAAGGAGAATGCCACTATTATGGGCAGGAACCTCAAGTTGCACTAAAGGACAGATTTCTCCAGAAGCCAACATCCGGGTTTCCCCTCCCCTGGCAGCAGGTCCACCTCCTGCAAGCACTAGCCAAGACTTTCAGGGCTCAGACATACCCTCTCAGCTCCTGGACTAGGAGTCTAGAGGGCGACGCTGGCTTCTGCTGCTTTCTGGACAGCAGTGACCTCTCCTGCACCAGAGAGCTCATTACCAGTCGGGGGCCCTAAGGCAGACTCTCCTGACAGCAGGGGAAGATGAAAGCAATAATGTGCTGGCTGTTCTGAAGCCCCTGGTAACCCTGGTTTTATTGAAGTCCAAAGTCTCAAACACCTCTAATGAGGATAAAAGGCTGGTAAGCCATGTGGGATCCAACTGAAACCTCTTGAGAGCAGGTAGTGCAGAGAGAGGACCTGGTGAGGGCTGAGCTGGGGCCTGGCTTTCCAGCGAGAGAGAGTGACTAGCAGGAGATGCTGACTCTGTTTGCTCAGCTCTCATCTCTTATTTACTCAAAACTAACCTGTCTATTTTCCCTTATTAAATAATCCAGTCCTCTGCAGGGGAACAGGGAGCCAAGAGCTGCTGACTCGCCACCAGGCACCGTGAGGGCAGCCACCCCACGCAGAAGCCCCCGGAGCCAGGCTTTGGACTTCTGGCCCTGGTTTCCTCTCTGCCTCCAGGTCCCAGCGGGATCTTGGGCCAGTCCTTTCACCTGGCTGAGCCCATGGATGCAGAGCGCAGTTCACTTTTGGTGCAGGGGCCATACCACACTGCAGACTCAGCACCTGCATGTCCCCACCTGGCACAGTCCTATGAGAAAGGGCAGGAGTCCTGCAAAATCCAGGGAGGTCTGCAGGTCACTGCTCCCCTGGAGGGAGCCATCCTTGAGAGCACTTCATAGAGCCTGGGGTGATGCTGTTTACCCCGAGAGACCCCTCATATCCCAGGCAAGCCTCCCAGGTCTGTAACAAATCACTCAGACTCCCCCAGATGAGACAGCCTGTGAAAGCAAAGGCAACTCTGCATCTGTAGGACACGGTATGGTGGAGAAATGGTGACAGCGGCCCTTTGTTCACTCATTCCCTCTCAGAGGGGCCGCAGGAGCTTCCAGAGTTCTTCCCAGGGCTCTAACTTGATCCTAACGCTGCGCGAAGAACCACTCCTTCCTGAGTTCTTCTACTAAAATGTAAGCGCCCCTTTCTGTGAGCATTTTATAGCTGCTCTCGTGTCTTGTGTCCTGCTCTTGTGACCCCGGCATGCTGAAGCACAAGCAGGTGCAAAGCAAGGACCTTGTCCTAAAAGGGGCTCTCGTCACTAGATGCTGGGGGCACAGCTGCAGGGCAAAGGGGACTTGGTGGCTCCCGTGAGCTGTTCAGGGACAGTAAGCCCTGCAGGGGTGTGGGGGAGAGATGCTCACTATGGTCTGGACCCAGGGCGAGGGCCGGTAGGGGTGTGGTGTGGGGGGCATGATGTAGGTATCGGAGTATCCAAGCCAAAAGGAGAAGGGCAAAAAGGAAGGACCAAAGATGTACCAGCCTTGTGGGGCAGAGGGTTGGCATCGACAAGGGAGAGAGCCGCAGGTAAGGAGGTTAGACAGGGCGCAGGTTCTTGAAGCCCCAAGTGCAAGCTAAGAAGATGAGGCTTGATCACACAAGCCAAACATGGGGAGCCGCTGAAGGTGTTGGAGCAGTGGCACTGATATAGGAGAATCCAGCACCAAACCACTCACCCGTCGCACAGCCTCGGGCCAGTTATTTAACTTCACAAAACACTCATTTTTCTCCTGTGTGCAATAGGGATGATGAGAGACAGCACCTACCTCATAGGGCTGAGGTTAGACTCACCCAGGTCAGCTAGCAAAGTGCCTAGCAGCGGCCTGGCTCACAGTGCGTGTCCAATGGGTTGGCTCCTAGTACAGTGCTCACTGAATCTAAAGGGCTTCAGTAACTTGGGGCTTGGAGAGTTATTAAGGGAAATAAAGGGGCTTCTCTTTGTACCTCGGGGCCTCTGTGAGACATGGAATATTTAGCCAGATGTGACGCTGATCTCCCCCTGCCACAGGATCAATGCCAGGGCACAGGGCACTTGCTGTGCGTCTCTCTCCTGACTCGGGGCCTAGAGAGCCAGAAGATGTGCCCAAGGGAAACGGGGACCCCAGCACCTTCCTTCTTTTAACTGATTCCGCCCCACTAGACCATCTGCATGCCGAGGGTGGGGACTGTATTCTCTCCACAAAGCGTGGTGCCTGGGGCAGGCACTCTAAATATGAGTGGAAACACAAATGAACGAGTGGAGGGAGTGTGAGCCAAGGTGCAGAAGGGTGAGGGGTCCCTTGAGCTGCTTCCTAGGTGAGCTGGGGGGCATTGCTCAAAAGTGGAGTGCAAGGAGCACTCCCCAAGAGTCAGGAGTCTAAGCAGCTGGCAAGGCTTGTACACCTGAGCAAGTTCTTTGTCTGTGAAACGGAGGGAGCGTGCAGAAAGCCCTGCCTCGCAGAGTTGCTGGGAGCCTCACAGCTGGAAGTGCTCTTCCGGGAGGTGGGGCGGCGGGCTCTGTGGAGGCCACGGGGTTCTGTGTGCCAGAGGGGTGGCATCTCCACAGCGTGCCCAGCCCTGGCCCCAGCCAGTCCCCTCCTGGAAAGCTGGGGGCATTCACCTTCTGCTGTACTGGAATTTGATTTGGGGGTGATTTTATTTAGGGGCATGGACAAAAGACGAATCTGGGGCTAGGAAGGGGTGGGTGTCAAGGCCACCTAGAGGAGAGTGTTGGGAGCGCAGGCTCTGGAGGTCCGGGAGCGGGGCCTTGGCTTATTCTCTAGGGGAGACGAGGGCTCTAGGAGTCTCCAGGACAGGTGGCTCTTTGCAAGGACAATGGACAATAGCCCTGGTGTCACCCTTGCCTCCTCTCTTTCCCGGAAGTCATGACCTGCTTAGGGAGCCCTTCTCTGGCCAAAAATTCTCCCGCTGGTCATTTTATATTCCCCTTCTCTGCCTTTTTTCCTCCTTGATACTTTTGACTATCTAACTTATTTACTTACCTCTTTTCTTGTCCTTTGCCCTGATAAAATGTAAGCTCCACTCATAAAGATGGCAACGGTAGGCACTAGGGACAGCTAGGGTCAGGAGGGACAGAGGGAGGGAGGAAGGAGGGTAGGTTTGAAAAACTAACTGTTGGGTGCTATGCTCACTACCTGGGTGGTAGGATCATCTGTACCCCAAACCTCAGCATCACACAATATTCCCATGTACAAGCCTGAACATGCACCCCCTGAATCTGAATCTAAAATAAAAGTTGAAATTATTTTTTAAAATGTAAGCTTCATGAAGACAGGGATTTTTGTCTGCTTTGTTCCTTCCTATAGCCTAAGCACTCAGATCAACGCTTAGCACATAGAAGGTGCTCAATAAATATTTGTTGGCAGACTGAATTACTGAATGGGTGGGTGGATGGCCTCATCTGAAATCACCCTAAACCCTGACCTTCTCCACCTCAAACCTGATTCTGGGAGGAAACATCTCCATATCTTGGAGTCCCTCCTCAAACCTGCAGGAGATGGCTTCCATGACAGCGCCCTCCTTCATCAGATGGAGGAAGCAACCTGGCAAGGCACTATTTAATGCCACAGATGGGTGTGCTTACTGTCTTTGAGGTTTTTCTCTGCTCTCAGAAGCTCCCAGGAATCCCTGGCCATGATGATTCCGGGGGCGGGAGAGGCAGCAGAGCGTGTGCTCTGTGCTGGGTTTATTTTTAAAGGATGACCACATTTAAGAAGAAAAGACAAAGTGGACCTGAGGCCTGGTATCAAACACTTACCATCAAATGGGATAGCAGGTGTTTGTCTCTTTGGATGGCAGTGATTGACAAAGAATGACTGCACTGAGGGGCAGAAGCAGAAAAGAATCACGGATCTGCTGGGAGAGGGGACACCTGAAGGCTAGGGCATGCATCTTGTCCAGGACGCTGGCATGACCACACGCTTGGATGCGCGGGAAGTCAAGGGGGTCAGTGACTGAGAAGGGGAGGCTGGAGGAGAACAGGAAGAGGCCGTAAAGGGGCTGGTGGTTGGAGGCTGCAGCCAAGGTGTGCACAGAGAGCAAGTCAGGCCAAAGCAGAACGGCAAGGACCGGAGTCAGAATGTGGTTGACACTGGGAGGGAATATTGGAAGGGGCAAATTGTACTGAAGAGGCAATCTTGTTTTCATTGCCTTTTACAGCTGGTTACTCACAGCATGGCGCCCAGTCCCTTAGTCTTAGAGACACGGCACTGTGTCTCCAAGAGTCTCCTCCTGACCCCAGAGAGCCTCAACAGATGCTGCACAGGACATGAGGCCCATGGCCTGCGGGCCCTCATCTACCTTCTTGTCTGCTTCTTTGCAGGAAAGCGTGGACTTGGGAGAGATCATGTTCTCCCTCTGCTACCTGCCCACAGCAGGCAGGCTCACCCTCACGGTGATTAAGTGTCGGAACCTCAAGGCGATGGACATCACAGGCTATTCAGGTACCTCTCTTAACCTGAGTGGGCTGCCAGCAGCCCAGACATTAGGATTTGGAAGCGTATTCGGGGAGAGGGGGAAAGAATTGTCAGCATTCTTAGAATAGAAGTACCAGCTCTGGACCCAAACTGCCTGGATTCAAACTCCAGTTCTGCCACTTCCTTGCTGTGTAAATGCTTTGGTTTTCTAGTCTGAAAAGCACTTTGGGAGGCTGAGGTGGGCGGATCACGAGGTCAAGAGATCAAGATCATCCCGGCCAACGCTCTGAGGAGTGAAATGGGGTGAAACCTCCCAAAGAATGGGCACATAGGATGATCTGGGCTGCACTCAGAATCACAAGTGTAGACAAAAGCTCCGTTTGTTTCCCTAGATCCCCCCGTTCTTCTGCTCAAGAGGCTGTCAGTGATTCAGCTTTCCAACGTAAAACCACTCAGGAGGTACTTCTGAACTTAGATGGGAATATATTAAAGACTTTTCCTCATATTTGCTTTGTATTTTTTCTTATTTGCTGGAAAACCCCTAAGTTGTGAAAGAAGGTATTTGAGTTTGGAAATAGCAGAGGGGTAGCCTGAGTCTTCTGTGTAATCAGTTGCTGGACGGAGGTGATGCCCCAGCCAAACACCTGGCTCAGATGTAACCTAGTGCAGCTGGACGAAGAGGAGGTATCAGGCCTTGAAAACGAAAGTTTCAGGACAAGACGGTCAGGAAATCCTAGAGTAACCTGTTTGTTGCAGCTCTGAGTTCATCAGAGCTACCCACACACATCACGACATGGGGAAGAGATTAACTGACCTCTTCCAGCCTGGGAAAGGCTCAGGCAGCAGCAAGTCAGCTCCCCTAAAATATAGCCAATGTAGATTTTATTTTAATACCAAATAAGTGCATAACAGGGAAGAAAATTCACTGAAGACTGCTGTGGGAAATGGGATTTTGCTGCCTAAGTCCCCACACTCTCTTCTCTGGTGTAATTAAATTGATGTGCTGGAGAGAAAGCTGGTGGTGAAGTCGCTGAGGTCATCACAAAAGCTGCTCTGAATCAGAGGGTTTGGGGTGTGAATTTTTTTTCATGCTAAGTTCCGACCTCCCTCTCACAATTGCCCCTCTTTTCGACCTGGGTTTGGAACCTGGTATTAAACCTTGGCTTGATTCCGAAGATGCAAGTGTCCTCTTTTCATTACAGACTTCTGTCTGCTTGGTTCATTGATGTAAGCAAGCATCAGGAATAGTGGGTAAAACACAGTAAGCATTCAATAAATAGGCCCTGAATGAATAGATGGTTGAATTCACAGCATGAGGAACCTGTCCCAAGAGTAAAGCAGAGGGGGTGTGCTTGCTAGGAGCCTCTCAAACTAGACTCCTGTTCTTGAGGATGAGTTTGAGTTTGCCCTCAGCCCAGATTTATTTGATGTTGGACTAAGCTGGGAGTGAATGGAGCTTGTTAACTGCCTATTCCTGGATTGCATGGCACTGACATCTAAAACCCAGGATCTTCCTATTCTCCATGATCTAAACTAACCCTGAACCAATTATCTAAGCCTATCTGCTAGAACCATGACTCTAAAAATAGCACAAAATAATAATAAGGACCAGTATGCTATAAAGGGGTGGTGAGTGCATTCTAAATGCTGAATTTTGATGGCTCCCATGACAATGAGGCTGAAATACACTGCTGTTCTTTGTGTCCCGTCCCTCAGCTGCATAGAGCATCATAGGCTGTTAGACAGGAAGGACCTCCAAGATCATCTGGGGCCAGCAATCCACTAGAAACCACAGGCTTTTGCCCCAGAAAAGCCTAGGGAACAGTCATCTGTCTGCTTGGCTCCATGGATGCTGGTGAAAGTGTTGGTTCCTGCCAGGGAAATATGTCCACTGAATTTTATAAATTTCATAGGCAGCCAGGCACAGTGGCACATCCTGTAATCCCAGCTACTCAGGAGGCTGACGTGGAAGGATCGCTTGAGCCCAGGAGTTCAAGACCAGACTCAGCAAAATGGCAAGACCCTGTCTCTTAAAAAAAAAAAAAAAAATGGGTATGCCGGCCAGGGGCAGTGGCGCATGCCAGCACTTTGGGAGGCCAAGATGGGCGGATCACCTGAGGTTCTGAGGTCAGAAGTTTGAGACCAGCCTGGCTAACATGGTGAAACCCCGTTTCTACTAAAAATACAAAAAAATTAGCCGGTGTGGTCGCGTGCACTTGTAATCCCAGCTACTCGGGAGTCTGTTGTAGGGGTGAACAGAGTTAGGGAAGGCTGCTAAGGCATTTGTCCAGTGGCCCATGGGACAAGTGGCTCTGCCTCTATTTTTCCAAGCTTCATGATATGGAAATCTGCTCTTACATGGGAGTGTGTGGAAATAAGGCAGAGCAGGGGAATGAGACAGCACCTAAGCAACCTCAAGTCTGGAGCCACTTTGCAAGGCAAAGTACATCCTTACGGAGTTTGCACGCTGCTGTGTTAAAGACGGGTCTTGGGGCTAGCTCTGCCCGTCTGTCTAGGTGGACCTGAGTAATGCCCTGGGGCATATCCATGGAGAATGGAATCTATGAAAACCAGGAAGCTGTCTCATGCCAGTTCTCAAAACTGCTACTTCCTTTTTACTGAAATGCCCCTGAGACAAGAGTTTTTTAAATGTGCAGTTAGAGATAGAAGGCCGATTAAACACCTCATGGTCTCCTCATAAACCCAACCTCATGTCCCCATAGTTAAGGCATAGCCACTGCTGCCACATGGATTAGTCGCAGCTCTACGGAAATGCCTTTAAGGCTTGGGGTTTCCGATCAGGTGTTGCAGTTCTCCCTCGTTTCCCCCGTGGATGTGTGCCTCATCTGCCACCTGCTGATGCCAGAGAGTCCAGGGACCTCGTGGGTGCTCGATGTCCAGGAGAGAGAACCATACGCCTATGAATCACAGAGCTGGGGAGCAGCTGCTCGGCTTCTGACAGATTCACAGGAGCCCTGGCTTCTGGGCAACAAGGTGTCTCAGCGCATCAGCGTCTCAAAAGCTATCATTACCTGTGAGCCGCCCTCCCATTTCTTGAGCTGCGAGGCATAAATAACAATTGCGATGCTGACCGGGACACCTGTGCTATGAGATACAATAGGTGTCACTTGACTTGGCTGAGGAGAAAATTTCAGGGTAGAAAGATGACCAACAAATACCCATTCAGAAAACTAAAGAAAACAAAAGGGTGGGAGGCACGTGGAAGTTCAACAAAAGCTTATCTTGGCAGGATGGAAAGAATCCAAGATACCACTGAGAAAGGAAATGTCAACCAGCTGCCCTGAGTCTCCCCGGGCCACAGCTCCCTCTGCCTCCACCACCCAGAAGTGGGCAGGAAACGGCTTCCAGGGAAGCAGAGAGCAGGGCCACTTCCCACCTTGTAGATGCCAAATGGAAATAAGATTATTGAGACAATGGGACCCGCAATTATGTTGTCAGGTGGGGAGGACATAAACAGCATTGTGGCCGTTGCTGTTCATTTCACTCTGACACATTGTGCCTCCTTGGCCATTGTTGAGTCCTATTTTTTCCCTCCCCCCCAACTTTATCCTTGGATTTATAATTCTGGCAAAACAAAAAAGCCACCCAGAGAAAAGGACTCCACATAGGTGAAAGAAATCGTGTCACTGTTCAGCCTCATCACCCTTTTGAGTCAGCCAGCGGCTGACGAGCTGCGATTTAGGGCTGTGAACTGCGTACCCATCGGCAGTTGTCATGTCTGATTTGGGGCCAGCTTCCCCATTAGTAAAAGTCCATTAGGCGCTCTCCCAAGAATACTGAGGTAGCTAAAGACTCTGCATTTATTAAGTACAGAGCGTCCTCAGAGACAGGTGTGCTACATAAATACAAGGTGCTTTAATTATTTTAACAACCCACTGATACCATCTGATGAGCAGCAGTAGGTCCAGGGTTTCGGTCCCTTTGCTGCAAATGATGTTTGCGGACATCTGTTTAACACACTCCATTCTCTTTCCTCTGCCCCCATTGGCACAGATCCCTATGTCAAAGTGTCCCTGCTTTGTGATGGGCGGAGGCTGAAGAAAAAGAAAACAACCATAAAGAAAAACACTCTCAATCCTGTCTACAATGAGGCCATCATCTTTGACATTCCCCCGGAAAACATGGATCAAGTCAGCCTGCTCATCTCAGTCATGGACTATGACCGGTAGGTAGGCGTCCCAGAGGGGCATCCCACTCCAGTGCAGGCCACGGCTCCTTGGCCTTAGACCTTGCGGTTCACAGCTCAGCTTCAGGGTTCAGGCCTCAAATCTGTCTGCACTTAAGAAGGGTAGAGGAGTTTGAGGAAGAGCATGGATTCCCCCTTAGCAAAGGGTTCAAAGTTCTTTTCCCAACCGTCCTAGTTCCATCAGGGGCAGCTCTAGCCATCAGTTTCCCTGAATTCACCATATTATTCCCACTCTTCTATCTGGCACCAAGTCCTGTTATCTGGCCTTTGAAATGCCCCTCTATCCTCTCTATTTCTGCTGTTGTGACTACTCTTACCCTGGAATGGCTGTGCAGCCTACTAGCTGACCCCTGCCTCCATCAATTCCTGCCCCAAATCAGCCAGCATACTAAGGACACATCTTCCCAAATGACAGCTTTCTTCCTGGACCTTCCCTTCTCAGGAACCATCCATGGCTCCTGTGATCCAGGCTTTTCCTGTGCACCCTAAGGCCTTCTGGACCCAGCATATCCATCCCATGGGACTCCTGCTTCCTCAGATATTTTTCTTCTCTTCCACACATCCTGCTCTTCCATCTAGGCTGGCTCAAAAACATTTTCAACTACTCCCGCCTCCATAACTCCTCTCCAGTTGTCACTTTAGCTGAAGGAGAAAGAAACCATGCAATAAAGCCTCAGTTTTGGATTTTTAGCACAAGTTCTCAGGCGTAGTAGATGCTTGACGCACACACTTAAGGGATAATTGATGTTCTTACTGAGTGAATAAATCACATTTCAGCCACTGGGCGTTTGGAGAAATGGTGCTCAGAGACCGTTGATTTATTTGCAAATGCAGATGTCTCAGTGAGGTTGTAATGTGCTGCCTGGGTCAAACAAGTGAGGAGACTTAGAACCTCTCACCTCCCAAACCCAGGTCATCTGCTCACCATTTCTTGAGATTCCAAACAAATTTATAGCCTTTGCTTATCTGTCTGTGTCCAGTGCCCACTGAAGGGGACTAGGCAAAGCTTCACTGCCACTGACACCCTGAGGCCCTGCCAAGCATGTTTTCAGAGCTCAGAGTTCTGAGTTACACCCACTAGGCAGAATCCTACCACCACCCCCACCAGACCTCCTTTTCTGAGGCCATGTCTGGTAGCCAATGCTGGGACTTTTGTTTCTCCCCCAGAGTGGGCCACAATGAGATCATAGGAGTCTGTCGTGTGGGGATCAATGCCGAAGGCCTGGGCAGGGACCACTGGAATGAGATGCTGGCATACCCCCGGAAGCCCATCGCACACTGGCACTCCTTGGTGGAGGTAAAGAAATCCTTCAAAGAGGTGGGTGAGGTCGCCTGGCCCTTGGCATGTTTGCTGCATGGCAGTGTGGGCTGGAGAATGGCAGTCGGCTGCAGTGAGACCGTCGCCCTTGTGTGGAAAGGTGGGCCTAGGGCCACATGCTTCTTCCCCAGTGTGTAATAGGCTGAAAGGAATCAGAGGAAGAAGGTGGGGCCCGCTGACACAAAGCCCCTGGTGTTGGGCATTTTGAAGGCAACACTGAGTTCTTAATGGAAGGCAAGAACTTAGAAGAAGACTTCCCAGCAGACCACTGTGCCAGGCCTGAAATGCTTTCACAAAGCCCGTGGCCAAGTTGGTCCTTTAGGAGAAAGCCCCAAGGGGGTGAGATCAGAGCTTGGCAAGACATTCCACCCCAATCGGAACAGTAAGTTCCCTGAGGCTCAAAGCGAGGCTGTCAGCCGCTTTCACTGCTTGGATGGACATCCCCAGGAACAGATTCCTCCTCTTCTGAATGTGGGTTCTCGCCCTTATTGGGAAAGGGAGCATGGCCTCAAGGTGTCACGCTTTCTGGCTAAAGCTGTGGGTCTGGGTTGCGCTGGGTTCTGACAGAGACGTAATGGAGAGAGCACTGGGCTGGGGAGTCCTGAGACTTGGGTTCCAATCTTGGCCCCTCCAGGCTTGCTGTATAATCTTGAACCTGTCACTTCTCTCTCAACTGCAAAGACAATATCCCTTTGAGTGATAACTGCAAACTTCTCCACCCTCCACTCAACCCCACTGACTTAGGATCCTGTGTTCTATCATCACCTTGGTGGTCCCCAGGCCTGCTTTTTCTCAAATGGATTAGAAGTGCGGGTGACCAAACAAGGCTTAAACCTCACTTGTAATATCTCATACCTTGGTCTATATCCTAGAAAGCTGGGTGAATATTCTGTCATCTTAACGGGCATCAAACCTAGCAAATTTAGAGAGCTGTATAAATTGGAAATTCTACTGATACAAAAATAAAGCTTTATCCCTTCCACTGCATGGCCCCTTGACTTAAAATCGGAGTCCCCTTCAAAACAGTGTCATCCCCTCCCCACAATCTATGATGCAGAGAAGTCAGGGCGGCAAACCCTGAGAAACCGCTGGCTCCCTGCCCTCTCAGGGAAGACAAGCCCATTTCCATCTGTTTCCGGCAGAGTGAGGTGTCTCAAGAGAATGAGAGCCAAGGGGATTGGACCCGTGGAAACACGGGTGATAGGGACCTCAGATTGGTGAGGGGGGGCAGGCTAACTGAGTCACCTCCCCAGACAGGCGGCATGCGCTCTGTGCAGCTCCTGCCCTGTGACCTTTGAGGTGGCATCAAGGGGTGAAAAGAAGCAAAGTTTCTGGCAGTTGAGGCCTCATAGTTCTGTCTTGTGGGTGCCTTGATTTTCCCACAGCTGTGGAGCTTTAATGAGTGAGGCCAGTCCCTCAGCTCCCTCAGGGGAGCCTCTGCCCCTCTTTTCCAGAAGGCCCTTTCTGCAGATTGTGGGTGAGGAACCCACAAAACAGGAGGCACTGCTGGGCAGAACGCTAGACAACCTGCAGACAGCATCCAGCACTTTACCAAAGGCTGTATTGGGTCAACCAGGGAGGGGTCACGACAGCCCCCCCAGGCCCCAATCCTTTCCACCAGTTTATCATCGTTTGGTGATATTTAAGAATGGAACAAGTAAACTAAACTGTTTATGGTGGCTTAGGGGGAGGGCATGGAATGACAGCTAAGAGGCCTCTGGTCAGCTGTAGGGCCTTAGAAAACTTGCTGCCCCACTCTGGTCTTTGGGTTATTTGGTAATGAGGGGATAAGCACTTCCCAGCTTTACTTTTCTAGGAAACTCTGACCCTAAACGATGGCTGGGCCCATGAGCCCCCATCTTGTGCTGTGCCTGCCTTTCTGATCTTGAATCTGCAATAACCCGTCCCTGTTACCAGGCTGGGCCTGCCTGTGGAAAACGGAAAGTGACAGAGCAGTGGCTACAGCGGGGTGTGTGGTGCTGAGGACCGTGGAGGGGCCAGGACTTGGCCCCAGAATCACTCTCCTTCATGAGGAATACAACCTAATTAAGCCGAATAATTGATTCGAAATCCCTGTTTCTTTGGTTTCATCGGTTCAGACTACAAAAGAAAGATAAAGTCGAATCAAGCCCTTGAAACTGAATATTTGATGAGGCCGTAAAGGGAAAACAACAGTATATGGAAAACAAAAGAGAATAAACGGATATTCTTTGGGTTTACTTTTTTCTTGACCTCGCAGGCCAAGCTCCTAGGAATGCCCCCTCCCCAACGCACGATCCTACCATTTTCTGCTCAGCTGATCATTCTCTGTATCAAGAGGCTGAAAAGGGCACTCGTCTCGGCAACCTGGGATTTCTACAGTTCCCATTTGTTTAAAATTGCTGCCAACACATTTAGCTCCCGCAGTTTACACATCTTTATTAAAATGCATGTAACCCCGCAGGGCTGACATTAAGTAAGCGCCTTGTGTCCATGGGATGCATTGTGTTTGGAGGTGATCCTCCAGCTCATCCTCAGAGCTCACATCCTGCCTTCTTTCATTCCTGTTCTGGATATGGAGCAAGAGCTTTGCTCCTGAAACTTGTATCTCCCATTTGTATAATCATAAAGAAATCTCCTCTAGCTCCTGGAAAGATAAATGGCATCATATCTGCAAAGCATTCTGTATTTATCTTGCGCCTTTCTTAAGGGATTTTCGTTAATCCCTTAAGATGAATTTGATCATTTCTTTTTTATTAATGAGAACAGAGGGCATCATACTTGTTTGCTTGTTTGGGGGCTCAAAATAAGGCTGAGGGGAACAAATTAACTGAAATGGTATCTTTCCCTGCTGGGATTCTTTCATGAATAAAAATTCATCAAGCCAACATGAGCGGCCTTCCCCAGCTGCGACACCGGCCCCCTTCCCTTTCAGCCCAGAGCCACGTGTCATCGTTGTTACCACACACACAGGGCTGACCAGCGCTCTTCTCCAAGGCATTTTATTGCAGGGGGCCAGGTTCAGATCATCTGCCAGAAATGTTACATCTCTGTTGGAACGTGACCCATTTCAGAGCAGCAAAAGACCTTACTGGAACACAGGCATTCTGGAACAATCATTTCCCTGTGTGCTGGGGACAGGTATGCTGCTATTTCAGAGCCACTGTAAGCCTCCTGGAATCATTTGCCTTCCCATGGTCCACAAACCCCATCTCCTCCCTTTGCTTATCTTCATAGGAAGACTTGGACTAGCAGGGGAGCCAGTGTTCCTTCTTCATTTGTTCTGGGTAAACAGTTATGCTCCCTGCGACTGCTCTTTGGGCTGTTATGTAAAGGAGGAAAGACACTCAGTGTAACTCTTTTGTGTTTTCTCCTCTGACCTTGCCGGTCAGTCAGGTTGTTTAAGTGGCATGCTTACCCAGGGAAGAAGCCAGTTATTATAATGTACCTTTCACCAACAGTAAAGGTTGTAATAGAAAAGTAGAACCCCTAAAATGAAGGTCTGTTAAATGAGAGCATTAGTAATCATCTGTTGTCACCTTCTGGGTAAGAAACACGAGTCAGAAGCCATAATGGGCTCAACAACCAGGCATTTATTGATCTAAAATATTTCACCAGGGAAAACCTCGGTTGTGATTTCATTCACGTGGATGCTGCAAGCAGAGAGACTGCCACCTGGAGTTAGGAGTAAGTACCTGGTGTGGACCCAAAGACGTTAGGTTGCCTACTACCTTTTGTCTCCTTCTTCCCCAAGTGAGGCCAGATGCTGAGATCACAGCAGGATGGAGTGGAAAGAACACTTAGTTGGGTGTTAGGAGACCTCGTTTCAGGTGCTGGCTCTGCCCCTAGCTAGCTGTGTCTTGACTTCTCCGTCTTCGTTTTCTTACTTGCAAGAACAAGAAGGTTAGACTAGATCGGCTCCCAAGCCTACCTCCAGTTCTGACATGCCAAGATTGCTCCTGTGTAGGTCACATAATGGTGGTCATCGATACTTGATTGTCCGGCCTTGCTTAGTCATAAAGACCTTCAGTTGGCCTACACAGAGAGTCCTAAGGAGCCCATGAAGAATTGAGCCCAGAGAATGGTAACAGACACTTTCCTTAGAATTGAAAGCATTAAGGTAGTTTAGTAGGTCTGGGTCCTTCTTCAACTTTGTGGGTCTCCCATCTACTCCCTAGGTGATGCTGGATGGAAAGTGATCTATTCTCAGGTGGCTCAGCCCTTCTAGAAATGGCTGTATCGAGGGAGAACCACATCCTCCCTGGCCCTGAGCCTCCATGCATGCACAGATGCATAGTTGCAGCTTTTACTCAGCCCCACCGTTCCACAGTGGAGACCGTCAGTGCTCATGAGAGGCAGAAGGGGCTGCACTTCAGGTTCAGGAAGGCCATCTTGACCACCTACCTACCTCTATCTCTGGAGCTCTGTCCCGCAGACACCCAGGAGAGTCCTGGGTCTCTTCAACCCACTCCAAGGATGGGTGAGCAGTGGACATGGACTCACTTTGAAGTTATCACTATAAAGCCCCCAAACATGTCAATCCATGGGGTCAGATCCTTGCTCAGTAAACACTGCTGTGGTTATGACTGCTGCAGCTATGAAGGACTGAATGGCTCAAGTCCGCCCAGCCTCAGCCCTCTCCTTCACTCATTACGCCTCATTACGTCACCCCTTTCACAGAGGGTTTGGGTCGGGCTGATAGGAGGCAGTCTGTGAACTAGGAGAGCTGGGGAAGAGAAAGGGGTTGCAGAAGCCAAGAAGGGTCTGCTCACACCTCTACCTCTCCGCAAGTCAGGTGCAAATGCCCACAGGAAGAATGAAGACCGAAGGAGACAGCTCAGAGCTAGAGCAGTATCAGGTTTTCAGCTGCACTATCAGCTCCCAGACAAATCGCTAATAATTCATGACCATGGGTTCTTGGCAATAAGGGCATGTTCTGCACACTACCTCTTTTGCTCCTAATATAATATGATTTTCAGTGTGAAAAATTGCTGAAGCACTCGGAAATGGTCCAGTCATAGCACCTCATTCACACACACACACACACACACACACACACACACACACACAGAAAGTTTTAATTATCTCTGCAGTAGGTCATTTTGAAAATCAGGTATTCCAGCCTAGAAGCTCTAAGCTGTTTCCCCTATATTTTTGCATGGCTGACAGCAAAATTCAAGAAAGCTTATGAGAAGCTGGGAAAGGTGAATTCAGTGCATGGGCCAGTTCAGTTTTGCAAGCTGAAATGTGAATTCCTTTAGCAATTAATAACCAGATTTTCCCCCTTTGCAGTGGCAGGGCCGAGCTGCCAGCTTCGACAGTGAGAGCTCGTGCCCATCTCCGAAACCGCCTCCGTCCCCATGAGCTGCGCGGCCGAGTAACCCCAGCGGGACTCAGCAGTGCTCTCTTTGCACTTGTCCAACCGTCTAAACAGTGTCGTGCAGTCGCGGTGGCGGTGGTGGCCGTCGTCACTCCAGAGCCTTACCTGCTCCTGTGTAGGGCAAGGCCGAGACACTTGTCATGTGGTCAGATCTGTCTTAGTCTTTTCTGTCTCCCAAGGTGATGTTTTTGTGGTTTTTCACTTTTTATGGGTCTGCTGTTAAGAAAAGAAAAAAAAAAAAAAAGAGTAGGAAAAGACAAAGGGCGGAAAGCCCAGAAGTTGGTTCTAGAAAATACAGTGTATAGTCTTTTGGAAAGAGGTGGATTGAGTTTCTGAAATGCTGTGTCTCCAGCAAGCTCCACAGCCCTGGAAAAGGAGGAGGCGTGGTGGGACTGCGGCCGGATTTTCAGTGTCCTGCAGGAATGAGATGAATTTATGGAAGGGCCTTTGTAGGGCGAATTACTAGCCTTTGAAGCCGTTTGCTGGTGGGACGTAAATTGTATTGGGACCCTCAGTCCTGTGTTGAAATCACAAGACCTCTGAGGCGCCTGTGAGCCTTCGGTTGATGTGCAGGGTTCCTCGCTCGCCCTCCTCGTTGGCTTTCCTCAAGAATCGAAAACGTCTCGATTCCTCATGGGACCTTAGTCACTTTCTTTAGGAATGATTCCACTGAAACTAAACACGCCATATGTTTTCTGATGCACCACAGTTAACGATCATATTTGTTTCAAAACAGGATCTTTGTTCTCAGAATAACCTTCATTGTAAAGTAAGAGAGATACATATGTTCTGGAATGATTTCTGCATTATACATAGCTTTATAATTCCACGAAGTATCAAGCCGCTGTTTAAAATGCCTAAACAGATTACAGAAAAAAACCTAGATTAAATGTTCTTTTCCAAATGGGGAGTTTTGAAATCCAACAGTTTGAGTCCGGCTTTCTATGAAGAGTGTCTTTTTATTTGAAACCAAGTCAGCGTAAGCCTCTTTCAGCCCCTTTGGCTCTGGGACAATATTCATCTTAAACTTTAGTTCTATAAATTGCTAAGTACTTCCGTGTTGTTTGTTTCAGTGGTTGTGAGGGTTTCTTGTTTCCTTTAGATCTCTACCTTAGGCCAAACTCAGTTTAGGAAAAAACAATTATTTGAACTATCCTGTGTTGTAGTAGCACATTTCTGTTCAGTTAATAGTGGCCTTCCCCCAACCCCTAAAACCAGGATGATGTGCTCAATCTCAGTTTGTATAACCCGAGTAAGCGCATGGAGGTGATTTTCTACCTGACTTGTGACTACGCAGTGCTAGTTTCCAGAGCTGTGTGTAATACTTGCAAGAGGCAAGTCTGCTGGGGAACCCCTTCTTTTCACAGTGGAAAGTCAAGAACAGAAAATCTGTTCACACACCTGTGTCTTATTCTTTATATATGTTACATGCTAAAGGGGCAGCAACCAATAAAGTGGTCCTCATTTTAAACCAAGGTGTCAGATTTTTCTGCTGATCTAACTCTGCATAGTATCTTCTAGCCCTAAAAATGACCAGGTTGGGCATGAGCTAACAGGATATTGTGACAAAAAGAGTTTTCTGCTTAGAAAAGTAAATGTAGATAAACCTAAGCTCTGCTCCGCACTGAGCCTTGGGCTAGGGACTCATGGGTAAAGATGACTTTTCTCCCCAAATATCCTGTGATCGGCAGGCCTTCCTAGTCCAGCAGTCCTGCATTTGGAGGTTCTCCTGAGAGTGAGAAGAAACCCCAAGGTCATGACAAGATTCCTAGAAGTGACAAACCTCATTATGATTCTGACTCTAGACTGACCCCATTAAGAGAGTCATTTCCATCGGTGAACAGATGCTGTGGGCCTTGCGATTACAAAGGGGACAACTGCATTTCCTGGGTCATAAGGAACCCAGAAATTAGTTTGAGAAGGTCCTTCTGGAAGTGAACTCAAAATATGTGTCCAGCTGTCACTACTAAACCCTTAGGCAGGTGAGGCTAACCCATTCTAACCTCTTGGAGAAGGGAATGTGGTCAATGTGAATAACAATAGCATTGCTCATCTGAGACATTCCTTTTACATCCAAGTAGCTATCTCCCATGAGTTAACAGCCCAATGGTTTCGGAAAATCATTTCCTGAACAGATTCTAGCCAGCCCCATGCCACCCTGGGCAGCTGCAAACCGCTGCTGCTCTAGGAACCTTGGTCTATTCCTACAAGCTTGGGAGCCCACCCCAGGGAGGCTTTTAGCTCCTGCAGTCTCACCCCCAGCACCCTCAAGAGAGACTAGTCCTCAGCCTGAATCATGAATGAAAGCTGAACATCCGCCAACCTCATTATCTAGCTCAGTACCTCTCCCCTCACAGAGGAGAAAAAAATGAAATACAAGGTCGATCCATTTGTTGGCTTTCTCTGGCCAGAGCAACCTCTCGGGTTGTTGCTGTGAGTGAGCTTTGATGAAGTTGTGATAACCAGGGCCATTTGCACACAGGTTTTTTTAAAAAAAAACACGGAAAGTTCCCTTCTCCTTTACTTAGCAGTGTTTCTGGACCGAAAGATGCCCTCCTCCCACTCTGCACTTGCCCAGGACGTTAATTAATTGCATTGTCATTTAAAATATTATGTTGGTGATTACTGCTTTCTGTCTTCCCACTCCCCATCACAGCCTGGAGATTTTTTTCAATTAAATCTCTGTCTCCTGCCCGTCTCTCTTGTCACTACGTTCCTGGGGTTTAGCAGCCAGTACACACACAAGACATCACAAAGCTTTTCTTTCAATCTTTGCTTCACATAGATAACCACTTCCCTTTTATCAGTGGTAGAGCAGAAGGCCTGTTGGTGTTTTGTTCTGCTCAAGGAATACCTGTGGACCCCTTCAGGCTGGAATCCACCTGTGTTTTGTCAGGCTTGTGGCTCAGACAGCATTTGGTGCACAGGACTCCACTGTTCCCTCAGCTCTTGAGCTCAACAAGCAGTCCCTCCAGATGCTGAAGCTCCCCTCAGGGCGTGGGCCATACACTCACTTCGGGGAAGTACAGTGCTGTCACCCACCAGCAGAGGAATCCTGCTGGCCATTGTAAAATACAACTTGGGAAAGCCATGGGAAAATACTTCTGCAGCCTCAAAAATTAAAAAAGAACATTCTAATGTGTTAGAATATCTCTCTGCTCGCCTGCAGCTTTTAATTAATTTAGAGAGCAGTCCATAGAGAGGAGAGTGGAAGGGACCATCCACTCCTGTACAACTGCATCTAAATGAGGGGAGCTCCACCGTGAGAGGCCCAGCGAGCTGAACTGCTGAGAGCAGCACTCTCCTGCCTGAAGAGGCGGCCTCCCCTTGCCAGGGCCTTTCCATCAGGTCACCCAACAGCCAGCAGGATGCGGCAATGTGCTGGTCACATCTAGAGCTGATAAACCAAAGGGGTCGGTGTGTCTGCTAGTATGGGCTGGGCTATGCTGCAATCACAACCTGCAGATTGCAGTAGCTGAAAACAACAAAGGCTTATTTCTCATCCATGATAAGCACCCATCACAGGTCAGCTAGGAGCTTTGCTCATTGTATTTATTCAGGGGACTCAGGAGGACAGAGCAGCTGAGGACTCAAACACTGCTAGTTGCCACCCCTGAGGGAAAAGAACACTTGAAGGGTCTCCTAGTGGCCTGAATGCTTTTCTTCACAGTCCATTGCCAGAACTACGGATAGGGTCTCCCAAAACATAAGAGGCTTAAGTTCCCTGGGGAAAGAAGAACTGAAAATACTGAGTTAGCAGCACCTGGGAAGACCACAGTGAATGTAAACAGGCCTGTGGAGGCTGACACGTGGATTCAGAACGATGGATTCAGAAGCACTAACACAGGCATCCATGGGTTCTATTCATTGTCAAATGACTTACCAGAAAGGTCAAGGTAGAAAATGGAAGTGCCGTTAGGGAGGTGAGGTAAAAGGACCTCTATAGAGGTTCAAGAAGGAACATCAGCCGGGCGAGGTGGCTCACACCTGTAATCCCAGCACTTTGGGAGGCTGAGGTGGGCGGATCACGAGGTCAGGAGTTCAAGACCAGCCTGGCCAACATGGTGAAACCCCATCTCTATTAAAAATACAAAAATTAGCTGGACGTGGTGGTGGGCACCTGTAATCCAAGCCACTTGGGAGGCCAAGGCAGGAGAATCACTTAAACTCAGGAGGAGGAGGTTGCAGTAGCAGAGATGGTGCCACTGTACTCCAGTTTGTGTGACAGAGGAACACTCTGTCTCAAAAAAAAAAAAAAGAAGAAGAAGAAGAAAGAACATCACACATCACAACTCAGCAGAATGAGTAGGAACTTCAGGTGCAAAGTGGCTGTGCTCTAGGCATTGAGGCTGAGTGGGATTTGGAGGTGTAACAGTTGTGAGAAGGCATCTGCAGACTGACGGGCCCATACAAGTGAAAGTCCAGAGCAGCAATTCCTAGGGTTGCACTATCCCGCATCGAGGGGAAACAGTGAACTCCCTGAGTTCAAGTGCCACCCTGCTTGCACTGGTCAGCCCCGGAAGAATGCAGGACTTCTGCCCATGGAGCCCTACTGTCCCCGGCCCTGAGCCCCACTCCACCAGACTCTAGACCTGGCCCCTGCGTAGCTCTTGCCAACAGCCTCCTCTGGGAACTGGATCTGCTGCCCCACTTTCCACTGGTGGCTTTGCACCTGCCCCTCTGACTTTGAAACTCAGTCTAGTGGTCTCACCCCATCCACTTAACCAGCCTCTCCTTCCTGGGCTATTTCTCAGCCAGAAGCCACTTGGGACTTTATGATCCGTGCCACATTCTGCTCTCCTTCAGGGTGAGTCTTATCCAGAGGTGTGATTCCTTAGTAGAGGGAACAGGACCAGGCTCTCCCCAGCTTTTCCCTGGCTGGCTCATAGCCCATGTGGAGAGACTGGAGGTGAAGAGATGGCAAGGCAATTGTGGCCATCCACAAGAGGGAGTGTAGGGCTGACCCAGACACAGGCAGGGCACCTGTACAACATGTGGTGGTCACAGCCAGATGTGGTGGCTCACACCTGTAATCCCAGCACTTTGGAAGGCCAAGGTGGGAGGATCACTTGAGCCCAGGAGTTTGAGACCAGCCTGGGCAACATAGTGAGATCCCATCTCTATTTTTTAAAAATGTGATGGTCACAGAGGGAAAACGCAACATGGCTGACAGCTGCACTCATCTGGAAGACAAGGAGAGGAAAGGGGGTGTCCCAAGTGTCATATGTTTTTATACCTTGGAAACCACATGTTCTATGCCTTCCACAGAAACCAGAAATTCAGCAGAACAAGAAAAAATGGTGAGTCCAGTTTGGGCCAAACTCAGTTTGAGATGCTGGAGGGATGTCCAGCAGATAGCTGCAGTTCAAAACGCAGCCTGGCAGCAAGGTCAGGTGTGAGACGCTTGTTTACAGGAACCTTACACGACAAAGTGATGTGAAGACAGGAGGCTGACCCTGCTAAGCGAGGACACGTAGACAAGGGAGCCTAAAAAGAGGTTCTTTGGGAACCACAAACATTTAGAGGTTTGTGGAAAAGAAACTGACACGAATCATGATGGAGAAGTGCTCGAGCAAAGCTGATCGATGCAAATGCCGATGAACAAGACAGATCAATCAAGGGCTTCCTAAAATGATTCTTCCTAACAAGTGAATTCAAGTTGTTTCAATATCACTCGATTCACAAAAGTCCATTTTCACCTAGGTTTGCAAGCCACCAACTCTTTTTTTCTGTCCCCTCAGCTCGACCCTTGATGTTTTGAAAAGAACTGTGGCAAAATACACATGACATAAAATTTACCATTTTTAATTGTATAGTTCACAGGCATTAAGTATATTCACACTGTTGTACTAACATCCACACCTCCATCCGCAATGGTCTTTTCATCTTGCAAATCTAAAACTCTCTACCCGTTAAACACTAACACCCCATTCCTCCCTTCCCCCAGCCCCTGGCCACCACCATCCTATTTTCTGTCTTTACGAATTTGACTGCTCTAAGTACTTCATATGAGTGGAATACACAGGCTTGTTCTTTTGTGGCTGGCTTATTTTACTTAGCATCATGTCCTCAACAGATGTTGCAGAATATGTCAGAATTTCCTTCTGTTCTAGGCAGAATAATATTCTGTTGTACGGATATGCCACATTTTGCTTATCCATTCACTCATCAGTGGCTACTTGGGTTGCTTCCATGTTTTAGCTATTATGAATGATGCTACTATTGTACACTGTAGGTGTACAAACATCTCTTTGAGACCCTGCTTTCAATTCTTCTAGATGTATGCTCAGAAACAGAATTGCTGGACTACACAGTAATTCAGTTTTTAGTTTTTGAGGAACTCCATACTGTTTCCTATAGCGCCTGCACTATTTTATTACATTCCCATCAGCACTGCCCAAGAATTCCAGTTTCTCCACATCTTCGCCAACCCTTGCTTTTATGATAGTAGCCATCCTGATGGGTGTGAAGTAGTATTTCATTGTGGTTTTGATTTGCATTTTCCTAATGGTTAGTGAGGTTGACCATCTTTTCATGTGCTTAATGGCCATTTGTGTATCTTCTTTGGAAAAATGTCTACTTAAGCCCCTTGCCCATTTTGAATTGGGTTGTTTTTGTTATTGTTGAGTTGTAGGAGTTCTGTATGTATTCTGGATATTAATCTTTTATCAGATATGTGATTTGAAAACATTATCTCCCATTCTATGGGTTGCATTTTAACGCTGTTGATCATGTCCTTTGATGCAATCACAAAAGTTTTTAATTCTGATGAAGTCCAATTTGTCTTTTTTCTTCTGTTGCTTCTGACTTTTATACTATATCTAAGAAATCATCACCAAATTGAATGTCATAAAGATTTCTTCTGTTTTCTTCTAAGAGTTTTATAGGTTTAGCTCTTTACATTTAGGCTTTTGATCCATTTTGAATTAATTTTTCCATATGCTGTAAGGTAAGGGTCCAACTCTATTCTTTCGCTTGTGGGTATCCAATTTTCCCAGCATCATTTGTTGAAAAGACTGTCCTTTTCCCCATTGAATGGTCCTGGTACTTCTGTCAAAAATCATTTTACCATACATGGAAGGGTTTATTACTAATGTCTCTGTTCTAATTATTTGGTCTATATGTTTGTCTTTATGCCAGTCCATACTGTTTTGATTACTGTAGCTTTGAAGTAAGCTTTGAAATCAGGAAGAATGAGTCCTTCAACTTTGTTCTTTTTCAAGATTATTATGGCTATTTAGGGTTCCCTGAGATTCCATAGGAATTTTAGGATGAATTTTTCAATTTCTTTAAAAAACATCATTGGGATTTTAATAGAAATCGCCTAGAATCTGTGGGTTACTTTCGGTAGTATTGTCAGGGACCCAACTCTTGAAGACATTATAACCACTCCACAGGGTGCCATTTGCTGACTTTCTGTCCATAAATCCACCTCTGCTCTGGGAACCCTACTGATAAACACATGTTGTGATCCTTCGTACAGAACCCAGTATATGTGGAGGTCAAACCTAGCTAACTAGACCTTTTACACTAAACTCAACTCTTACCAGTTTCCTGTGAAAGTCATCTCCCACAACTGTAAATGTCCTGGCCCAATTCCCAACCTGACAACAGAACTAAATCTTGCAGCCCAGCTTCTCTCTCCTGCCCCACCTCAGCCCCAGAATGCTCAAGAACTTCACCTGGACTTACTCCCATTATGGCAGGCTCACCTCTTTTTCTGCATACACATAGGTAGTTACCCATCTATTCACTCAAAAGACATGTGTTGAGCATCTAATGTACATCAGGTATCATGCTAGAGCTGAGGACATGCAAATTTAAGAATACTAATAACTAACATACACTAAGCAGTTACTATATGCCAGGCCAAGCATTGTTCTAAGTGCTTTACATGCATAATCTCATCCAATTCCCCTTCCAGCCATAAGAGGGTAAAGAGCTTGCCCAAGATCATGAAACTGAACCCAGATAATTAAATCCCAGAGCTCACATGCTTAAGCATGATGCTAAGTGCCTTCTAATAGAACATAGCTCTTTAAGGAGCTCAAAATTCAGAGGAGACAAACGAAGAAATAGGAAATTACTCAGTAATACGGCAAGAGCAAAGCTCGAAATATATCAGAGATTTAAGACATCCTAGAGAAGGA